ATTGACTAAAGATAATCCAAAACATGAATAGGTTAATCGTCTTCACCCTTAAACTATTAAATAAAAAATTAAAACCATGAAATTATTAGATAAATCTCTCGTGTGTCAAGCATCAATAATGTGTCAAAACCTCAATATATTTAAAAAGAGACATACCTATACGATAACTGCTTTCGTGCGCACATTAGTATAAACACCTTTTTTTATTAGCTAATATGTGGTTTAGTTAGAATTAAAGTTTAAAAATGTTATTATGTGAGATATGCAAGAAATCGTTGTTTCTTCAGGAACACGCCCGAGTAATTTCAATTGAAATTCAAATAAATTTTATAAATAAACGACGCCTTACCGAGAATAGCTTGTGTTATACTATTTGCTAATGAGAGTCAGCAAACAGTAAATATCTTTATAAAGCGTTATGGAAACGTTCCACTCCATGTTTATTCATATAATGTTTCTATTTTTCATATATGCCACTATTTACGTTAGTAGGGCCACGCAGCAGCCTCGGTTGTTACACGAATGGGCAGGCCCGTCCGGGTAAGTACAACGACCTCACAGAAGACCAGCGTAAAGTGGAAGTATGACAAATACTTTCGCGTTTCGTCTGGTGAGTGAGGTAGCCGGAGCCCAATTTTCAAAAGGTTGTCAACGCATCTGTAACCCTCGGGTGAAGCAGATGTCCACGGGCGGCGGTATTCACTTAACATCAGGTGAACCGTCTTCCCGCTTGTCAAGTTTTCACATAAAAAAATTAATAAATATATTTTTATTGTATATTTATATACATTCCATATATATTTATATATAATGTTTACAGTGTACATTTATGTATAATTTATTAATGTGTATTTATATTTTAACTTATTAGTTTCTGATATCGCTTCAGGGATACCTTACCTCCCCTTACCTGATACTACTTTTACTAGGTTGCCTGAAAGAAATTCGCTTTTTAGCGATAAGGCCGCCTAATGTACAGTTTCTTATTATTTTTTGTTGATTATTCAATATCAGTTGTTAGTACACAATCACTACATAGTATAAAACAAAGACATCCCGCTGTCTGTCTGTCCCTATGCTTAGATCTAAAGTAGCCAACGGATCTTGATGCGATTTTTTACTAGATAGAGTGATTCACGAGGAAGGTTTATATGTATAATACATTGCACCCGTGCGAAGCCGGGGCGGATCGCTAGTTAAGTATATTTCATTTCATTCACGATAGCATCTTTTATACTATGGCCCTGCAATTGTTTTGAGTTTATGATTGCCCGTTTTAAAATCGGATCGTATCCGCAGGATGTTACCAATATCCCGATGGCGGACGGGATCGATTTCTAATGCATCCAGAAAAATCCACGAGCCGCTAAAGGAAGCAAAACAAACAATGATAAGCTTCCATTTCTTTCAACTTTGGCGTGTTAGGTCGGCCGCTAACAATTTAACTGGTCCGAAACTCGACAGTTATCTGTCTTAAGTCCGGGCAATTGCCGTAAACTTGTTGCGTACAGTCCAAGAGACGGACCTACGTGCGTCACTTTCGCATGATGGATTTCGCCGAAACATGAAATGTACGATGAATAATAAGTTATAGTTGACCCGTGCAGTCACCGATTGGTAATATAACAGTTTTAAATAAGTCTTTATCATTGAAAGGTATTTTATTTTGAATATTAACGTTTTTCGGTTTACCACACTATCTTTTATTTAAATACGTTGCCAGTAGATGACATTATCATATATTCTCTCTAAGAAATTTTTAAACGAAAGTTGTCGATTTCTTTTATGACAAAACTTTAAAACGGTGTTTTCATTCTACTTGATCGATTTCTCGTACCGACAAATCTCACCTTTAAAAACATTGTCTGTAAAATGGAGTTTACCGATATCTCGACACATTTTACACAATGTTATCTTGTTCCGAGCTAAGTATGGAAGCATTATGGGTACGAATAATTGAGTACCTTGAAAAATGGCGTGGTGGGTATGTACCTGTGCGCCATAGGGTGTGGGTTAATATACGAAAAATATGTGTGACACATAGTGTTTTTTAGTGTCTGGGTGTTTAAATATGTATAATATGTATTTATTTACAAAAGAAAAGTATGTTTAAGTATGTTTATCTGTTATCTAGTACCCATAGTACCTACAAGCATTGCTCAGTTTGGGACTAGAAAACTTTGTCCTAATAAAATATATTCTCATATATTCTCATAATTTTCGTTTGTCAATAAATACATATTATATATATGTCTATATATCCCAGACGCTGGAAAATCATGTTAATCGCATAATATTTTACAATAATGAGGATCGAACCCGCGCTCATGAAGAGACAATTTTAGTTTCACTACGCCAATCGGATCGAATGTATGAATGAACTTAACAAACATCATTCATGTAACTCAGTTAGACTTAGAGGTCAAAAGGGTCAAGACATCTTACACAAGCTTTGTAAGTCACGGCTGCTTTAACTTTAACATTCACTCTGATTTAATAACATAGGAACCAGACATTTTAATGTGGTCTATTTTCAACCGACTTTAAAAAAGGCGGTTCTCAATTCTTTCATTCGTCGTTATATTTTTTTGTATGCATTATTACCTCAGAGATCCGTCATTTATGAACCGATTTTGAAGATTATTTTTGCATTGGGTTCGGTCGGATTGAGGTCCCATATTAATTTACGTGACACTTCTCGACGAATCTATTCGTGCTGCGCGGTATGTAATAAAGATATGTATATCTTCCTGCTGGAATATTCCAGATTGAGGAAGATGTTACTATGACATACGAGTAAATATTAATTGTTCTCGTATTTACGCTTAGCCGCTGAACTTATGCAAGTTTAGCGGCTAAGCGTTAAGTTAATTTTATACTAGAATTGCATTTTCCCCCAAAAATTGGTCTATGCCAAACTACCTATGTCTCGTGTATTTCACACTATTCGCGAAAGGTTACCATAGAGGGGTGCGACTGGGACGGTTTTATTTGTGTTTGTTTGTTTCCCTTTCCGTTCGTCAAATGACATAGTGTAATGGAAAGCCCGCTTATCCGGACCGGTGTAAACGACGACAAACATACCATAGACGTATCGGGTTCCCGCCGCCCGCCGCGCTGTCAGAGTGACGTTTGTTTTGGCGCCAAAATACATAATGCTCAGTCGAACCCGGTTTGTTTTCTCGGCACATCACTGCGCGCGACGGCACGGTTGCGTTTTCACGCGGCGAGATGTGACAGCGAGCGAATTTAAGCTTTATCCGCTCGGATTAAGAACGTCGCGGGTGGCGTACGTGATTCGCGATCCGCACGCGGTGTTTGCCGGCGGTAATTCTATATTTTAGCATCGAGATCTGGATGGAAGGGTGAAACGGTAAACATGTGCGGGTTATTTTAGTGAATTCATCTTTGGTGTTGTTGAAAAAGTGGCGCCGCGCGAGGATGAGTGACGTAGCGTTGTGTTGATCTTTTTCTACCGTAACGAGGTTTTATGCGCTGCGCACTAAGAATGTGCCGTGTAAACGGTTTATAATTAACTGTCTAGGCTAATGTATACTAACGGCGGAGTAGGTTCGGCCTGTATGCATGTCTGTATGTTTGTTTGGTCTTGCGCGTTGGCAGTTAATACGTTTGATTTGATGTTTTATGTGACAAGGTGGCAAACGAGCGGGCGATTCCGTTGACATTTGTAACACTCGTTGCAGATGAGTTGCCACATGTTAATAAAGTGGGCCCCGGCTACCTCACTCACCAGACGAAACGCAGAAGTATAAAACTTCCCCTTCACGGCGGTCTTCTGTGAGACCGTGGTACTTAGCGGGACGGGCCTGCCCATTCGTGCAACAGCGACTGTTTGGATTACACGAATGAATGTATTTATGACTACAGATAATCGAGAATTTACTTTTAATCAAGAATGAACTTTATTCACAATTACCTATTGCAGGTAAATTTTAAGTAATGTTCGAAATATGAATCATCACGTAAACTATCTGAAATTTCAAGACAGAATCGGCGCATAACACTTTAGGAACACGGAAACGCATTAAGATCTTTTTAGGTCAAATTAACCCTTTTTCTAATCGCTCGTCCCGAACTTGGTTAACTACAGCTATTGATCAATATGAGAGCTGTTCTAATTTCGTAGATTATAAGTGAATCATCCTGTAGTTTGAAGTGAACATTATACTGCGTTAGGGCCCCTGTAACTGGGCGGGCGCGTCGGGGAGAGTAGGAAGTGGAGGTATTTTCTTGCATTTACGCGATTATCATACATAGTGTAAAACAGAGTCGCCCCGCTGTCCGTCAGTCCATATGTATCCTTAGATCTTTAAAATTACGCAACGGATCTTGATACGGTTGTTTTTTACTAGATAGAGTGATTCAAGACAGACAATTCGTGTAAACAGTTTCATTTATAAAGTGGAAGTATTATTTATTTTATTTGCACACTTTTTTGTACTAACTGGTACAAACGGCGGGCTTAATGCTATAAGGCATTTTCTACCAGCCAACCGGAAAGTTAGTGAGGGAGAAGTGTAGGTGCTAGCTATATAAGGATTATATAATATGTATACATACATTATGATAACAATTATTAAACACTTACAACAATAAATAAATATTATATGAAGAACTTTTCTGTTTAGTTTGGTGAGTGGTAGAATGAATGGTGGTGAGTTTATAAAAGGGCCTCCGTGGAAAATTTATGTGAAAAATTGCCAAGTGATCAGACGGTTCACCTGAATACCGCCGCCCATGGACATCTACACCCGAGGGTCGCAGATGCGTTGACAGCCTTTTGAAAATTGGGTTCCGGCCACCTCACTCACCAGACGAAACGCGAAAGTGTTATACTTCCACTTTACGCCGGTCTTCTGTGATGTGGTGGTACTTACCCGGACGAGCCTGCCCATTCGAGCAACAGCCGAGGCTGCTGCGTGGTAGGGCCACCGTAAAATACGTCAGAGAGACTTAGTTATCCAGCAGATCGGCCTCACCTGGTGTAGTCCCGCTTGCAATAGGTCTTCCCGTCCCTGACGAAGCAGGTGCAGGACTCGTCCAGGAACTGCCTGCACTCCTGGCACTTGAGGCAGGCGGCGTGCCACTCGAGGTCGGGCGCGACCCTCAGGATGTACTGGTCGTGGATCTGACCACCGCACCCCACGCAGAGCGAGAGCCGCAGTTTCTCTGCAGAATGTAGAGTCATGGTTATTTCCGAAAATCGGCCAAGCGCGAGTCGGACTCGAGCACGAGGGGTTCCGTACCGTTATCTATGACAACGGCACAATATATATAGGTATGTGTTATATTTGATGATTTTACTTTTCTACGTATGTATTAATGTAATTATTTTTGCACCGTTATCCCGCAACTCTATTATCTAATGCTATACCCTAAAGTTGCATGGAAGAAATTGCTAGCTTAGGAATAAGGCCGCCTGTTTGTACACTGTTTCCGGGATCTTCTTAAGTATGTTCAATCGATTAATCAATCAAAAATTCTCCTTTGTCGCGTGAGTAAAAATGAGTACGTATACAATGTTATAACGACTTCTCGTATTTTATGCATTGAATCCTTTTTTTATTCTGTCAATGCATTTCCAAAAAGTTAATAGGAGTTTTTCCGCATCTGTTATCATCTACATCACCTTAACTTGCGAAATATCACCAGTTCAGTCTTCATCTTGTCTTTATCGATAATAGTGGTCGCCCAGTGGTCGAAGTTCGACCATAATGATTTAAATTAACAATTTTTTTAGTAACGAAAAACAAAACCGATAATATAACTAATATCTCGCTCTGTGTTCATTTTATAATTGATTTTCAGGAGTTCCCTACGTATCTCCGGATCCCAAGATCTTGAAAGAGAGGATCTTAGAAGACCAATGAAATTATTGTTATTATATATATTGCGGTCCCATATTAAATATATGGGACCACATGGGTAGCACCAGCTTTCAAATACGTAAAGAATCATCAAAATCGGTTCCAAAAAGATACATTCGAATTGAGAACCTACTTCTTTTTTTAAGTCAGTAGAAAACATTTGCATTCAGGACCCCTTCTCTGTATAAACTATGAGTGGAAAATTTCATACTCCTCCGTCCGCGCAATTTTCGTAAAAAAGGGGTACAAAGTTTTTGCTTCACGTATTAATCTCTATCGATATTATCGTCATCGCAATCTTGACTTTATCGATATTACACGCGATGAGATCAGTGCAAATGCAATCGTTTAATATAATAAATCGTATGTCTAGTAAATGATGAAGTTTTACTTCATCATTTACTAGACATACATTTGCAATTAATAAATATGCGATTTTTAAATGAACTTTACGACGAAATACTTTAGACCAAAAAATTGGACTCAGCGAATCTAATAACTACTTTATAGATTCGTCGAGACCAAAATGTTGGTCTAGACATGTCGTTATTTATGTTAAACAAAGCTGTCACCCGAAGTCAAAAGGCTCACAACAAGATCTCAAGTAATTTAAGTTAAACGGTGGATACCTAATGCTTTATTGCCACTGTGTTTATTTACTACCAACGTGACAAGTGATTAGCTTGCCGCCATTCTGCGACACAAACGTGAGGCTGCAAATTTAGCACGTTAATATCTAGACTATCTATATGCTCTGTGACTGACTAAGGTTCATAGACGGTATAAGAATCTACGTCCAAGCGACTATACCTGATAAAGATAAAGGTGAAGGTTTACCCTGATAGAGCGAGACAACAGTCTCCCCACTGCATGTATGGACAGGTCCGTCCGGGGAAGAACCGTGAAATGGATGTGTTGTACTTCCGCGTTTTATTTATGAGTCAGGTCACCGGGGCCCACTGTATGCAAACGCCCACGTGTTGCAAATGTCCGTGGGCGGCGATTGTCACTTAGAATCAAACCAGCCTGCTCGGTTGTCATGTCACATTAAAAAAAAAGATATAACTTCGACATATGGACCCCCACGCGCTATTGGGGCGGAATTAAGAGGAAAAGGTTGGGGAAAAGGTAGAAAAAGTCGACTCGGCGCACCGTTGGCGAAACCTCCGAGCGCGGAACAAAGGAATTATGAATAAATTATACAGTCTGCCCGAAATCGATAACTTCTGTGGGCGTTCGCGGTTCAATCCCCGCCCCGGCGGCGCATCAAAGAGGTCTGTCCGTCCCGCTTTGACGCCGTCTCTTTCACTCGCGGGAGCATAGGCGTTTTAGTGTGGCGGATAGGTACCTATGTGGATACTGCAAGCTTAACGATGTAATCGTATCGTTGTTAATCTGTTCCGATAGCGAGTGGTAGTAAAGCTCGATTCTATTGCGAATTCAGTTAGTTTAACTAATAAGGCAACGATAAGGGAGCGTCTTTCCTTTCATGTTCTTCTATATAGGTTTTATAATAAATTGGAAAGATTTTAATTTATCCCATTAAATATGAGGATAATATGTGAGAAACTAGCGACCCGCCCCGGTTTCGCACAGATGCAATGTATTATACATATAAACCTTCCTCTTGAATCACTCTATCTAGTAAAAAAAAAACCGCATCAAGATCCGTTGCGTTGTTTTAAAGATCTAAGCATACATAGAGACAGACAGACAGCGGTACGACTTTGTTTTATACTATGTAGTGATGCAGCGAACGTTTGTAGGTACTCAGAAGCGATCAATCAGCATTTACCTAACATTAAAACTTTTTAACATTAAAACGACAAGGAACTCTATTTAATATTGCATTCATACAGTCACTGATTATATAAAATATTTGTACACTCCATATCGTATAAAACATGTTGAACTACACCATGACATCACACCTGCATGCCTTGGACATCCGTGTTTTTACAAACAGACGTTTCAATTAAACATTAATTGACATTTCTAATTATAACGTTAGACATCTCTAAAATAAGTATGATCTTTATATGTAAAAAAATAGCTTACGTGTGTTTGTGTCCACAAAGCTCAATAACTAGTCTATGGATTGATTTGATATTTGTTCAAAACATAGCAATTGAACAGGACAGTGTTTTTATATAGTTTTTATTCGGATGATCTCTTGGAAACGAGAAAAAACTACAGCTTATATAATATTTATTTTAGAAATAAAACGTTTCTTTATTTTGTGTAGTCGAGTTTTATTGGACTCAAGATGTGGTAGGGCCACATCTTGAGTCCAATAAAACTCGACTATGGGCAGGCTCGTCCAGGTAAGTACCACGACCTCACAGAAAAGCGGCGTGAAGTTCAAATAATAATAAACAATTTCGGACACATATTTTACACAACGTTCTCTAGTCCCAAACTAAGCAACGCTTGTACTATGGGTACTAGAAAACTGATAGACTCACTTTTCTTCTGTAGATAAATACATATTATACATATATAAACACCCGGAAAATGGAAAACCACGATGTTCATCACACAATATTTTTCCAATAGTGGGGATCGAACCAACACCCTCTGGTGCAAGAGGCAGGGTCACTACCCACAACGCCAATCGGGTCGTAGGGTATAATACTTTTACGTTTCGTGTGGTGAGTGAGGTAGCCTTCGATTTTTCAAAAGGTTGTCAACGCATCTGCAACCCTCGGGTGTAGCAGATGTCCATGGGCGGCGGTATTCACTTAACATCAGGTGAACCGCCTGCTCGCTTGGCAACTTTTCACATAAAAAAAATATATGACCGCTTCGAAATGGTAACGTTGACAAAAAGTCATCTCGCAGCATTCAGAATTACCTTATTTGGGCCATTCAATTATTTTGTTTTGTTAGTACCGAAATCTTCTTTTTAACTTTAACTTTTACGAGTCGGATTCGAACCTCTTGACTGTTCCACAAGCACCTAACCACCAGACCATCGGTTCGTTTGAAATGGCTGTCGATTCGGCGTTCAAAGCTTTGATCATTTAACAATCAAAATGAAAATCTAACGAGGAACCCATTAGACATTCCTGCAGTCGTAACATTGTTTACTGCAGCGTTGCAATTAAATCAAAACCGCGGTAAGCGTGACTCCGGTCGAGTAAACGGGTTCCGTATAATAAACAATTTTATTTTAGGTGCTATTTAGGTTCGTTATATCTTCCTTTTGGAGATGGCATACAGCCTTAATTTATTGTTCTTGCTTAATCATGTTTCACTGGTACAGCTTTTATATCCGGTTTTACATTGCGCATTCTCCAGTGACCGTACTATATGAAATCAGCATCAACTGCTTGACGAGTCTGGCAGGTCATATTGGGTCCTCTTGAGAACTTGGATATGATCGAACTATCTCCAATTAATATGCGGACTAATAAAGACATTCCAATAAATCCCAAGGCCATAATTTTGACTGACTTTCCACAGGTCTTTTATTTAATTTAGGATTTTTTATTTAATTTAGACATTATATTCCTTTCCATTAGTGTAGCTTTTACAATATTTTTCAAATTGTTTACAGTTTATTGTTTGCGGATGTCACCTAGTTTATTACATGCTATTATCTGTGCCTAGGTCACGGACTAATTTATTACGTTTTTCACCTCTGACTCGTGCGTTTTGTACATTAAATACCGTAGCTAATTAATTGTATATTATGAATTGCATATTATAATTATATATAATATAGATTTGTTCTGTATTGATATTATATAATTTAGTTTCGTTCCATTGCTCATTGAACGAGTTCACAACGTAGCCATTCCATGTTCTCAGTGTTTAGTTTTAGTTTTAGTTATAAGTATAGTTACATCTTAAACTGTATTCGAACTTCACTATGGCATTAGGTTAAGCCTGTAATGATAGTTGTAATTTGATGTATAAAATAAATAAATAAAAACGATTGCCTGGTTTTAGCTAGTCTAAACCTCGATATTTCCAGCGTTCCACCACGGCCCAGATGCGATGTATTAAGAATTTAAAAATACCTATATATATTATATCGTACGTACATGATGTTCTCGAGTATATCTAAATGATATTAGTAATTATCATCACAAGGAACCCTAAAAGCCTGAACTTCTACTTCAACAACGCCTTCGTTAGATCTTAAGTGCTGTCTGCAAAGGATCGCAATTAAAATGACGAATCATCGAAACGGGAGGGTCGAGGGATTTTTTCCAATTAACAATTGCATTTTGTGTGCAAAAATTAAATAGCCTCTGCTTTAATTGGCGTTTGCGGGCCGTTAAACGCGATAAGTGGTGTTTAACTCCACTTTGAT